AGCAGCCCAGGGCCCTGAACCTCCCTGCGCTTCCAGGCGTCTCTGCCCGCTGCAGCGTCCCTCGTCCCCCCCGGCCCGGGGCCATTCGTCATCCCCCAGCGTCTGCTCTCAGTGGGTCGCAGCGCCAGGCCCGTCTGGTCTTTCCCTCAGTCCTGCCTGTGCTGTCCAGCGTCTCTGCCCAATTTCCTGCACCAACCTGCATCCAATCCAGTCCATCACTGCACTGCTCTACTCTCAGCCACTTTGACACCAAACCGCACCAAATCTCTGCTCTCCATCGACCCAACAGCATCCGCCCAGCATCGCTCAATTGGTAGCTCTTACAACCGCAGCCAGCGCCTGTCTTCCCTGCTCGCTGCTGCTGCCGCTGCCGCTGCCGTTGTCGCTCGCGTCCGCCGTCGCAGCGAAATGCCCTCGTTCCTGACCCAAGACAACCCGACACTCTTCCCCAGCGGCAACGGCTCCGTCATCAACTTCGACCACTTCAGCGCAAAGGACCAGGCGAATGAGGCTTCCATAACCGACGCCCGGTCCTACGCCGTCCATGAGCGCTACGACGAGAGCTCGACACTGTCCACGCGCGCCTCGGACCTTTCGGACTCGCCCGTGCCCTTTCGCGAACTCGACCAGTGGCACGACGACGCCAGCGCCAGCGAGACACGTCCGACCAGCATGAGCTCGCTCTCCAACGGCAAGAGCCTGCCCGGCGGCTACGGCGCCCAGGACGTGGCCTTAGACGTGAACCATGTCGACCGCGCCCTGGCCAATGGCGCCGCCGTGCCCCCTCCCCAGCGCTCCGCCGACACCTCTCGCATGCAGACGACGTCCACCGGCCAGGACCAGAATCAGAACCAGGACCAGAACGACGAACAGAACCAGAACCACAAGGCTCCGGTTCAGCGGAGCGCCCACGACGGCGTCCCTACCTCTGCCGCCCCGGGACGCCCAACGCCGCCCCCTGCAGACGATTCGCACAGCCCGCCCCAGCCTTGGACGCCGTCCCTGACGCCTGCGTCGCCCATGGCCTCCGACCTGGCCCTGCCGCAGCATTTCAACGGCAACGCCAATATCAACAGCAGCAGCGCCAACCCCCAGCGATTCTCATCTCCCGCGTCCTACCAGGCTGGCGGCTCCAACTCGGCGCCCTCCCTGTCTGCACATTTGCAACCGCCTGGACCCGGCATGGGTATCAAACAGAGACACACGCTCGAGGTTCCCAAGCCGCCGTCAGCTAGGAATTCGAGGGAACTCGACACCGCCCAGGCCAGCGGACGCTTCTCGCCCACCGTCGCCAGCCCTACGGGCGGTCGTGCCGCCTCCTTCAGCCTGGCCCGCCGGACGACGAGATCTATGCAGTCGGACGCTCCCCGAGACGAGGTTGTACATGACGAAGATGCCCAGCGATGGGCCGAAGTATATCGACAGAAGCGCGCCAGCAAGAAGAAGCGGAAGGAGGAAGAAGACGATGACCGCGTCCTGGTCGGCACCAAGGTCGACGAGAGCCACGCCAACTGGGTAACAGCCTACAACATGCTGACGGGTATTCGTGTATCCGTTTCGAGGACAAACGCAAAGTTGGACCGCGAGTTGACCGATGCCGACTTTCATGTTAAGCAGAAGTCCACGTTCGACATGTACGTATACCCATACCCCAGTGTTTTGCAGGTTGCTTTTTTCGTGCCCTATGGTACCGTCAGATAATGCTAACACCGTCCCCTCTTCTTCATAGCACCGGCAACGAACTCGTCCCTTCAGCCAAGTACGACTTCAAGTTTAAAGACTATGCCCCTTGGGTCTTCCGTCACCTTCGACAAGCCTTCCGCCTTGACCCGGCCGACTACCTCATGTCCCTGACCGGCAAATACATTCTTTCGGAGCTGGGCTCCCCTGGTAAGAGCGGCAGCTTTTTCTACTTCTCTAGAGATTACAAGTACATCATCAAGACCATCCACCACGCCGAGCATAAGTTTCTGCGCAAAATCCTCAAAGAATACTACGAACACGTCACCAAGAATCCGAATACCCTGCTGTCTCAGTTCTACGGCCTCCACCGAGTCAAGATGCCATACGGGAAGAAGATTCACTTCGTCGTCATGAACAATCTGTTCCCGCCGCACCGAGACGTTCACAGGACCTTTGACCTCAAGGGCTCGACTATTGGGCGAGATTACAAGGAGGAGGACTTGGAGAAAAACCCTCGCGCGACTCTCAAGGACCTCAACTGGCTCCGACGAAAGCAGAACCTCGAACTGGGCATTCAGAAGAAGAAGCTGTTCCTTGAGCAGCTTCAGCGAGACGTGGCCCTCCTCAAGCGTCTCCATATCATGGACTATTCCTTGCTGGTTGGCATCCACGATCTTTCCCGCGGCAACGAAGAAAACCTGCGCGGCAAGACTTTGCAGGTGTTCAACCCCGGAGGTGAGAAGAACAACGAGGACGACCTCCAGGCCTCCCTGCTCCGAACTCCGTCAAAGCTGGAGAACTACCGCAAGGCCAAGGAACTGCGGCAGATGGTCCAGAAAGAACGGCCGGTACCCATGGGCCAGGCCGACGACCAGATGCCCGACGACGTGGGCGAGGATCGCCGCGGCCTCCTCTTCAACCAAGACGACGGTGGCTTCAGAGCGACTCACGAGGACAATGAGCCAGCAGAAGAAATCTACTACCTGGGTGTCATTGATTGCCTGACGCACGTAAGTTGACGACTGACAGTGATGATTTTGCTTTCTGTCGAATGCCAGCCAAACTGACCTTGAACAGTACGGAATGATTAAAAAGATCGAGCATTTCTGGAAGGGCCTTTCGAATGACAAGAGCAAAATCTCAGCGCTGCCGCCGGACCAATACGGGGACCGCTTCTATCACTTCATCCAGGGCATCACCATGTCTGCCGAGGAAGCCAAGCGAGAGCGTGCCCGCAGAGACCAGGAGATGCAGGCCCAAGCAGAGAAGTCAAGGCAGAGCACCATCCCTCCGATGCCTACGCACCAGCCCCCGCTGCCTCCAGTCGGATCCGAGTCCAATGGTCGAGCAGCCAAATCACCTGAGCCGGGGATTCCTGAGCGAACGCTCAAGACCAGTGCCACCGTGCCAGGCGCCCGTGACTCGCAACACGACACCGTCCTCCCAGTTGTCGAAGAAGCCGGAGAGAGCCGAGACGACAATACGGAACGATGGGTTCGGGGGACCTCCTGGCACAGCGTACCCGAACCCGGCCGGGCGCCTCCGCCGACTCCCCCTCAGGATCAACCCTACCTTAAACCAGACAGCTCCGACAGTGGCTACGGCGACAACAGCAACGGCACCGTCAGCAGAGACAACTCCCTCAAGGTGGCCCGACCCGTCAGCCAAGGGAGTCTGAACAAGCGCCTGCCAGCGCTCCCCAAGAAGGAGAACTCGCAACAAGGCAGCATTCGAATGGTCAAATAGAAGGGCCGCAGCGCTCCAGGATCTCGAGGAACTGCGTCGCTGGTGGATTTGGAAATTGATTGGTATTACGACAAAGCACGGCGTGGCGCATAAAAGAAGATCAGCGATGTTCACAACCATACACAAAGGGTCCCGACCTATCAACCTAACATTTTTTTCTCTCTCTGATGATTCCGCATGAAGGACAAGGAAACGGGTCGGGCGGAATTGCTGGGCTCTACGATTTTAAACACTGTTTTGCAACATAATCAGCACCTCGCATTTCTTTTTTCTTTCTTGTTACTTTTTTCCTTTCTTCCTTTGCCAGCCCTGTTTAACGGCCAGTGTGCTCATCTCTTCATCTGATTGGTTCTTGTTGACCAGCCGCTCTCCCATCCTTTTGGTCTGGTTCGTGCTCCTTGTTTCTTTTGTTCTCTGAGGAAATAGCATCTTTTCACTCTCATCCTCACACCGCGGAGCCCCTTTCTTCTCTTCCCTTTTCTTGGTCTTTTTCTCTCATATGTACGCGTGGTTTTGGAGCGAAGCGAAGCAGAGATGGAACAGAGTGCAGATTGTTTGGCAGGCAAAAAAAGAAAACCACCAGAAAACGAAAATCAGAGAGAGAGAGAGACGAGGGAAATTTGTTTGTGCGCGGGCTGTTTGAGCAAAAGTGTGCTAATATTGGCTTTTATTACAAGACGTGGATGATACCATTGACCCGCATTCGACATACATACAGACAGTTATTTTTTTTTCTTCTCTACAGTAGATTCGGTCGTCTTTATTTACCTGCATCTCCCATGCTCTCGAGGGTCCTCTGCTTTGTTCTTTGTGCTGGTGATGTGCTTTGTATGTATCGCGCGTGTGTGAGCCCCGGGGGGAGATGTGGTTGAGGTCGAATTAGAGGTCGTACCTGTGCTTACCATTGATAGGAGGAGTTTCGACCAATTCCGTCATCGCATAGCATGGGCGGATGGTTTAGTGGTATAATTTTCCCTTAGCATCGTGGAACCTTCTGGTTCATCACAGTCCGCTTGGGAAAGGTCCGGGGTTCGATTCCCCGTTCGTCCAGCGTTTTCTTTTTGTCGCTTTTTGGTATGATCTCTTTTGTAATACATTTTCCTTTTTTTGTTGGCGTTTTTGTGTGTGAATTTGTTTCTTTTGTATATGCGGGCGGCTGTGTAAGTATCGGATGGGTGGGTGGCGGCGTGCTATAGACTGTTGAATAAAATAATCTGCACATACATGGAAAAGAGAGTCTGAACAGGAGGTCAACTGCGGGCAAGTCCTGCTGTCTTAAGGTGTGGCACCTAAGGTAGCGGACGAGAGGTTTTGAGTGAGGGACAACAATCAACGCACTGGAAGATGTCTCATTACGATGGAAGAAGACCGCTGATATAGAAGCTCGTCAGAAGGAAACAAAAGCAATAGAGTTACATACATTAAAACTATTTAAAAATTTCCAGCCAGTCTCTCATTAACCAAACCCCCAACGAGAGACCTTTTCAATATATCGGCATAAAACACTTGGTTGAAAGGGTATGATATTCCTCCTCTTATCCCCCACTGCTATCCATCAACCTCCAAGTTTGGCTAATTATCCCAAGCTACCTTCATCGACATGGGAAACGGCGTAAGCGTCCCCCAGTCCTCAGTCAAGTACTCGCAGTGGCCGCCCTCCCGAGGGACCTTCCTCAGCTCGCCCTGCGGCCCGGCGGCCCGCCTGAGCCCCTGCCTCCGGAAGACCGCGCGGAAGAGCTCCGTCAGCGCAATCTGGCTGACCTCCTTGGCCAGGGCGCTGCCATGCGTGCCGGCGCCGAAGTGGATGTACGAGTCGAGCGGGCGGCGGGGGTCGACGGCGTCCGGGTTCGGGAACTGGGCGGGATCGCGGGCCGCGGAGGCGAACGAGGCGAAGACCCGGTCGCCCTGGCTGACGTTGACGCGGCGGCCGTCGTCCTCGACGATGGTGTCGGTGCCGGTGGATACTTGGTGCAGGCCGAAGGCGCCGGCCAGGCGGACGCCTTCCATGGCGAAGCCGAGGAGGAGGGCGTCGGACTCGGGGCTGGGCTCTTGCGCGGCGAGGGCGTGGAGGTCGTCGATGTAGGGGCTACCTTCGGGGGAGAGGTAGAAGTCGAGGGATTGGGCGAACTAAGGCCATTGACAGTTAGCTTCTCACTATGCAGGAAGATATCCTTGGAAAAGGGGGGATACGTACGAGGCGGCCTTCAGATGGGACAATAGCTGTGGCTGTGGGCAGAATCAAGCCCCAGGCGATATCATGGGCGCTCAGACCCGACTTGGCCAGGGCCTTGACGGCGTTGACGCCGGCGGTCGAAAGAGCGTCCTTGTTGGTGTTGCCGGTGAAGAGGCGGAGGCCAAAGGATTTTGTATACTTGACGGCTGTCTCGATGGCCGCGCCCAGAACATCCGCAGCTTCCTTTGACTTTTGCCGCAGTGGGAAGGACTTGACGGGGTCAATGTCGAGGAAGATGGTTGTGTAGACAGCGGCCAGGGAGGTGTACAATTCGTGCTCGGAGAAGACGCCCTTGGGGTTCTCGCGCGTCTTGAGCGGGATGTTGAAGACGTGAGCGGCGAACCGCGTGTGAGCGGCATTGCCAAAGTCGCGGACGATGTCAATGTGCTTCTTGCCCATGATGGTGTACGCCTTGTCCGCCAGCAGCGCCTCGGCCGTCTTCGCGTAGAAGCCCCTGACGGCGTTGCGCCAGTCGTCCTTGTAGAGCAGCGACTCGAGCGTCTTGCGGTCGCTCGGCTGCATGTAGCGGCCCGGGCGACCGGAGAGCATCTCGAGCCCTTCCTGCCACTGGACGCGGTACTTGTCTTGGCTGTCGAGGACTACCTGCTTGAAGCCGCCAAAAGTGGTGATGTCGACGCGGGGAGCTGCTGCGCGGGGCCGCTCGAAGCTGAAGCGGTGGACGCGGCCGAGACTTGACAGGATCTTGCGGTTCTCCTGCGGGATGACCATGGGGTAGTGGGCGTAGACGGAGTCGTGCTTGAAGTGGTTGGGGAACGCGCGGATGAAGAGCTTGTAGAAGACGCAGCCGTGGTTGACCTTGAGGTCGTACTCGACCTCCTTGTAGCCCCAGTTGGTGAGGTAGATGGGGTTGTAGTCGGTGGTGTAGTGCCTGTCGCCGCGGACGAGGGCGACGGCGTCGGACAGGACGACGCGGGAGATTGTGTAGGTCGGGGCGATGCCGACGCCAGGGACCATGGGCGTCTTGGCCTCCTCGGCGACGATGCCCGGGTACAGCTCGACGTGGTCCGGGTGCTGGTACAGGTTGCGCAGGGCGTCGGCGACGCGCGGGTCCGAGTTGATGTCCTCGAACGTCTCGTAGCCCTTGAGGCCAAAGTGCTTGCGGAACTCGTTGAGGCCGGCGAGGTGCCACTTGCGGCCGCGGATGATGCCGAGCATCTCGACGGGCTTCATGATGCGCGGGACGTTGCGCGCGCCAAACGAGCCGCCGGGCTGCTCGATGGCCGTGGCGATGCAGTTGACCAGGTCGTCGTCATCGAAGCGGCCGTCGGCGCCGCGCGTGAAGCCGCCGAAGACGCAGTCGGCCGGGTCCTTGGGCAGGGCCCGGGCGAACTTGTGGACGGCGATCATGAGCGTGCGCATGTCCATGGTGCCGTAGTTGTCTCCCAGCAGGTCGTCGTAGAAGGCGTGGATCCATTCCTCGTCCATCTCGGAGATGCACGAGTGCCAGCGGTAGCACAGGTTGAACTCGGCCGAGACGCAGTTGCCCACGCCGCGCTCGGAGCCCTTGGCCGTGCCGACGTCGACACCAGCCTCCTGCCGCGGGTCCAGCGTCCACTCCGTGTCCACACGGTTGAGGTTGATGATGTTGCGCACGTAGTCGACCAGCGTGATGTTGATGTACAGGCCCGACGTCACCAGCCGCGCCGTCTGGAAGAGCTCCTCGTCGTACTTCTTCCAGGCAGCCGTCGCGGCGTCTCCCTGGAGGGACGGCGAGGGCTTGGTGAAGCGGTTGGCTTCGTTGATGGCGGCCAGGTTGGCGGCAACGTGGTTGTGGACGCGGTTGAACATGACGAGGAGGGTACAGACGCCGGGGGGCATGCCCAGGAGGCGCTTGTCGGCAAAGGTATCCGGCTTCAGCATGCCGTCTTTGAATGTGCGGACTGAGTTTTGGGATTCCTGGCTGTGGCCGTAGAGGGGGGACAGGTCGAGATAGGAAGACGAGTCGTTGATGTTGGAGTCCTTTTCGTTGGTCCAAAACAGATCTGCGTTTGATCTTCAGCTTCCACTACACTCCATGCGAATGCTTGGTTTTCTTACCGTGGATGATAATGGTCGCCCAGTACCACAAGATGCTCGACACGTTGTTGGGATTCTTGATAAACTTGTCTCTGGCCATGATGCCCTCGAAGATGGCTTCAGGGTCGGGCATCGCTCCCAGGGGCAACACTCCAGGCCGGCATGAGCGCGAATAGGGGGTACCAGAGGCACCTAACTTGGGCATAAGCGGGTTCTGGCGGACTTTGTGAGCTTCCTTTCGTGAAACGCGTTTTGTATAAAAAAGCACACGAGACACTTACGTTGTTGGATCCATCAGCTTGGCGGAAGCGGAATTGATCTCCCATGTACAGCAACGGGGGGTGATCCAGCGAGTACCACAGCTCGTCAATGAAGACGTTGGTGAGCTTCTCCTGTCTCTTGGATGCCCCTGGCAGCCTAGCAACCAGCTGGATTGTCTTTTCCATGACCATTGTCTTGTCATCGGTCTGCATCTCGCCCTTGAGCTTTGAGACGATGATTGACTTGAGCGTTTTGAGGTCTGTAGTACAGATGTGAGCACTTCCCGGATGGCAATGCTATGATAGCGGCGTGATCAATTACCTTGGAAAGTGAGCGTGCTCAAATCCTGCATCAGAGTAGGTCTGTTCTTAACCGCCGGATAGGTCCCATCGCCCGTCTGAAGGGGAAGAGGCCGACGAGAAGCGCGGTACAACTGCATCAGACCGCCATGCTTGACCGGCTTGGTCTTCTTTGGGCCCTTTGCAACAGGGCCGCCGGGGTGCTCGACGACGGCATGATTGCCGTTGGAGTAGCTTGTGTCCTTGCTGAAACTCATGGTGGACGGAGTGTCTTTGTAGACTACCGGCCGGGTATCGAAGAAGAAGAAAGAGGAAACCAGAGGAGCAGCAGAGGAAGTGTGCAAGAGAGAGCAGAGGAGCTCGTGCAGCTGGGGGCGTTCCACCAGCTTTTATTTACCATCAATCTTAAGAGAAGAGACTAATGCTGTGCATGCTTCCCCTTGCCATAAGTGACAAGGCCACACAGAGACAGACAGCATTAGCCGCGACTGGCAGACAAACAAGGCCTGATAGGGTATGCAGAGTAATAGACAGCTTCCAATGAGCCAGTGAGAGGGAGGGCTCGGGCCGCCGCCTGGGGCTGAACGAGGACTTTCTGAGATCGACCCTTGGGAACTGTAGCAACGCAGTACTACTACAGGACTGGAGATGAGAGAGAACGAATGGCGAGTGACAGCGGCAGCTGGTGAGCTCACGCACGGTGTGGCACCTGCACCTATGCAACAGCCGTGAAAGCTGCGATATGTCTGGCCCCATACGGCGTACAAGGGGACAGGAGAGGCTGATACTACTTCGTACAAGAACCACTTCCCCCCCTCTCAGCCGTCCCCCATTGGAGAAGGCCTGTATGTCAGGGTAAGACATGCATACGGAGAGGACCGGGTATCATGGCTGAGTAGACTTTTGCTCTGGCTATGAGTGTCATTTAGAGGAAGAGGGTCTCCCGGGAAGAAAAAGAGCCCTTGTCTCCAACCTTGCTGTGGTGTCGTCGGGTTACACTCACCGATGGGAGAATTGACAGTGCCCATGGCAAAGCAGCAGCCTGTAACGCATATTGAGCGATTCGGATCCATCCAGCGGCGTCCTCTTCCTCTTCTTCCGTTATTATCAGCTCGTCGAGCTAAGGTAGTCCGCACGCTCCTCAGCTCGCAATGTCTGACACGTAGGACTAATAGAAGCGCGTCGTCCGTACACTGCTTGTCCTCATATCGATGGGCGAATCGTCATATGAATCGGTACTTTGTTGGATGCAGTCAACTCCTTCGACCCACCCCCATCTCAGTCCAGATACTACCCAGATTGGCGCGCCGTCAAGCTGGTCCGGCAAGGATCAGGTCGGCCGCCGTCCACCTGAATATGCCGAATCCGCTAGGCTGGTTGGTGGCTGCGGATACGATACCCTTGGAGGATCTGATTTGCTTTCGTATGGACCACCTTGATGATTCTTTGGAGTATAGCGAGTCAACGTCAGACCGCCTCAAACATTGAAGTTCATCAGCTTTTCAGAACCCGGTGGCTGGAAGATCATCGTAATAGCCGACAAGGAGCTGTGAAACGAAAAAGAGCTGATCAAGACGCATAGTCGTACGAAACTGTGTTTCACGCTGCTTCACCCTCTCTCCACAGCACACGGAAAGCTGAAAACCTTTCTCTTTCGGTTTGCTGCTTTGCTTCCCCCCCCCTTGTCTGCCTGCTGGGTAGTTGAGAGCTGCTCACGCACTACTAGTAACCAAAACCACCGCAGGCTTCATGCGCTGCGACAAAACATGCAGATGGCTTCCAGTGCGAATCGGCCAATCCAAGCCCTCTCAAGCTCCAAGCGGCCCATGGAGATAGCGGGCGGGCGGGCGAAGTCCAGTCTGCCGTCCGTCTTCTTCCGCTAGGCAAGCCCCGGTCTTCTGCGTTTGGCTGAACATCGTTGTCTAAGACATGCATATATAAAATAGGCGCCAAACTCGGATTTGCCAGCAGATCGCTCACTTCCAGTACTCCAAGTGACGAAAAAGTAGCCGCCCAGGTTGTAAAGTTGCCGTCCGCTGAGATTGGCTCCCTTTTCCTTTTGCCGGATCCCCACCATGCTCAATGCCAGCTGAAAACTGGTGATGCTACGCCTAATGCGGTCGAGATGCTTCGCCCCTGCTGCTGCTGAGGAGGGGACCCCGTATGCACGATGCAGTGCAACAACGTTTGGCTGCTGTTGGCGGTACTTGTACGGAAAAGAACTTTGAGGTATACGTTTGTACCCTTCACTTGATTGTATAGAATGCTCGTAGTCTTGGACGCAGTATTAGCAGATAGATAGTAGTAGTGTTCAAGAGGGCTTGGAGCCGTGCAACCCTTCCTTACCCTGCATGAGCGTGTTTGTTGGCAACAGAGAGGCCATCGCAACTGAGACCGACTAACCAGAGTGGTACACCCCTCGTCATGGAGGATTTGGAATTGATAATGAAAAAATGAAAGGCATGGACCAAATCGATCATCGGGATTCGAGCGACGGGAGCTAGAGGATCGTGATGTGGCCGAGGCGAATCCTATTACCAGTACATTCATAGATCGGTCGATATAGCACGAAAATTATCATTCTGGTGTCTCGTCGTGACATCAAGTCACCATCCACGGTGAGTATTGTCAAGACCGTATTTTGTTGAGTACACCAGGGTGCGAGTCATCTTGGTTAGGTTGATATTAGAGGTCGATTTACATGTTTGCGGTTCGTAGTCAAGATGACCCAAGCTTAGACTGCCTTCCTCAAGCGGGATACTTCGATATGTGGATATTTTCCATTCAGGTTCTCGTACAAAGTACTAATGAGTTGCTATGATATTATTTTGAGCCCATTCGTAGAGGAGTGGTCCTGGTATGTCCTCGCTGGTGCTCTGTGGACTACTTTGGAGGCAAGACCAACCTCAAGCTCAAGGCCACACATACCAGAGCATCTTTGCAGCCCGCAGATCTCGGTGAGCCGTACACCGAACGTCACCAGTCATACATAAGTTTCTCAGTAAGTTTCGTCAAATTTCCGGCGTCTTGTCCCTGTTCGCATCATAGATCGAATGGCGCGCGGTATGAAGTAAGGAGCCGCCTAGCATGGCCGCGGTCCCACGTCGAAGCCTTCCGACGCGTATTTGCATGGGAGGATGCGTCTAGACGCGCTGCATGCGCATTATCGGCCAAGGGTTGCTCAGCTCGACCCTTGACTTCCGTCCTGCATGTGCTCCCGCATGCTTGTAGATGTCGTGGTCTCGGTCTTCTAAAATGTCGATGCGGTGCAGTTCAGTGTTGGAATTTCCAGCATATTTCACTAAATTCCATAGCACGCCTTTGTGCTCTTGGTCATGCTCTGCAGTCAAGTACTGCGTTCAAGTTTAGTGATTCCTCATCTCATCCGTAGGTCGACGACTTGCAGAGGCATCTTATCGCTCTCGTACACGTGCCCCTCCGGGTGATATGCCTCTCTGTAGAGGTTGTCGATGGAATGCTGATGAAAGGTCTCTGTGCGACTGCAGTTGAGGATGTGATCCAATCCCGGAGGATGGGTGAGTCGAAAGATGCCATGCCTGTACCCAGAGTCAGTCAGTCAGAGTACTATTAGTTCGGGTGGTTCTCTTAGCTTACTCGTTGTATCGCGGCGCACAAACGATGGCAATACTTTCAGGCATCATGACTTGATATCCCGCATGTGTGTGGAGATCGCGAGAACTCATAAAGCACGTCTGCGTTGGGTGCGTGTGGATCCAGCCCAGCATCAGCAGGTCCTCGCTCATACAGTAATCGAACAGAGCACTCTCGTTTTCCGTTTCGCAAGTATCGGGAGTCGATTTCTGATCTGGAATGAGGAGGCAGCGAACAAAGAGGGCGTTGTTGATGGGCGTTCCACAAAGGACACCACACGTCTCTAACCCGGCTGCCGTGTTCTTCGCGGCGATTTCGAGGAATCTTGCGCGCAGGCTGCTGGGGAGGAAAATCGACCGAATGGGATCGCCATTTTCAAGGTAGCCTCCAGGCTTGAAGGCGAGACGCTCTTTCTTTGTTTGAGGTGCTTCGACAGAGCTTTTGGGTGGCAAAGGAGGCTGGTTGGCATTAACCAACAGCCGTGAAGTGGCATCTGGCTGTTGATGGTCGTCAGGCCGAGTCTTACGGGGCACTTGGGGCGGGAGCATAGGCGTTGAAATATCGTCTCTGTCGTCCTTCAGCGAGGGAGGTCGGTCGAAATGCTCCTTGGGCGGTCTGGCAGGTTGGGCCTCCCTCGATGACGAGTAGTGGTTTTGTTCGTACTCGACGGGCCTCGGTCTGGAAAGGGATGGGTAATAGTAGTTCGTGGTGGTTACCGGGGGAGTTTGCTCGTAGCCGGCCAGTGCTGCGTCAATATCTCTGCGCTCCTGTGCCATGTCGAGTGTCCGCCGTGTTGCCTCCATTTGTCTGCGGAGATCGCCATCGTCGAACTGTGATGCTCTATTCTCCGTGACTCGCCTCTCTTCGTAGCCATGCTGTTTTGGTATCCGCGCATCCCAAACGCTGCTATGCTTGCTCGTACGCTTATCTCGCTCTCGCCGGCTCAGCTCTTGCTGTGCCAGATCCACTGCCAGATCTTGATGCTCTGCCGCATCTAGAATCCTTGCTTTTCCACTGAGGCTAGGGTCTTGAGCTGCGAAGCTAGCATAGCTCGATGAGGCCTGCTTCTTGTATCGTTCGGCGGCGGCGGCGGCGGACGGTGCTGTGCGCTCCCATTCTTTGTACGCGTTCTCGATTCCGGGCTTCAGTTGCTCAAGGCTTTCGATGACGCGATCGATGCGCTTCAACAGCAGCTTGTATGCCTTTTTATTTTCGGGGTCCTTCATATGCGGATGGGTGGGCAGGTATTTGAGGACCAGGACGGAGTGTCGATACAGCATCTTGTAGGCTCGTCCATAGTCGCCATCTGACAGAGCAAAGGATGCCTTTGAGTCATGTCAGCGCGTGAACCGATACGGTAGCAGGGCAACTGCTCGTACCTCCTGATATAGCGTATCTGCGGTGCGTATCCAGTGCTTCATGGCGATGTTGACGTTGAAGACAAAGTTCTCGGCCTGAGCCACGAGCTCCTCAATGCTCTGCGGCCGGCTCGGCGTCATATTTGGACGAGCCTCCATGGTTGCGACGAAGATGGCCCTCAAGAATAAACCAGAGGCGTCTCCTCTGCAAGGCCTGGGCTTTTTAAAGACACTGGTTCATGATCGTGAGATACGGTGTAGAGAGAACCGCGGAGAAAAGGAGCTGCCTGGCAGGCAGAAGAATAATGTTGGTGCTGTGTTGCTGGGAAGCTTGGAATATGAAGTAAGCAGGATTACACGTTCAACGTCAGGTCCCTCCAAGCACAATCAGTATGGCGGGGCAGAACCGCTAGAGAAGTTGGGGAAATAACAGCAAGGTTTAGTTGCATGTTCAGGCTAGGGAGATATAGTGCCGTGTCGCGGGCAAATGCTAAAAGGGGGGCGTCACAGGCAAGCGGTTACTACCTACTGTATATTCCTCTGCAATTATTCGAGTATCTTCACTGGGTGCCCTGGCGAGCTTGAGATTGAGGTGTTATTAGCTGCGATGCTGAGTAGCTTTGTGTTTGATTTACAATGTGGTTCGCTGTCTATTGTCCGCCAACGGCCGCCTGCGCTCCCGCCTGGATCTGAATAATCTCAGTCTTCTTCTTCTCGATGTTGGCCTGAGTCTCCTTGATCTGTCCCTCCAGTCTTGTGCTATAAAATGAGATCAGTTAGCTGTGAAGGCCACATGTGGATAGCAAGTGACTGACATTTCGCTCCCAATAAAGTCCAGCCGGCCCTTGACGGTGCTCTCGGCCTCAAACTTTTCCTGCTTGAGCAAGACAGGTCCTACCAACTTGTAGATGATCTCATCGTCGCCGATGTTTTCAAATTCCTTTGGGGTGTGTCAACTCTCATAACCCCTGGGCCTGTTCAACATTAGGGGGCTGGGACATATTGCCAACCTTTTGCACTCCGAGGTTCTCCTGTCTCTGGCCCTCCAGCTTTTGGCGTGAAGCCACTGTGTTTTGGAGATCTGGTAGCAATACAATGAGAATCAGCTGTAGGAGACGGCGAAGGGGGTATGGCTGGCCGCAGCAGGGATGGCTTCAGGTCCAGATACTCACCCTGCTGAAGTTTCTGATACTCCTCGGAAAGGGACTGCAGCTTGGCCTGGACCTCGGCCATGGTTGAGACTCAAGCCTTATTCTGCTGATCTGAACCTTCAAGTTGAACGCCTGCTTTGGTTCAACGTCAATATCAGCCTAATCTTGCTTGACAAAGTGCTAGAGTCAACTTGGAACTTGAACCGGTGACGCCCCGCTAACATAAGTCTCAGCAAACTGCAGCCCCGTTACAGACATAAGAATGTTACCCCGCCAGCGGTCAGTTAGCGCAGGTACAGCCCATGTTTTGGTTCTGCCTGTGATACGTTCATGTATCCAGTTCCTGTTTATAGCATCATCTTGCCCAGCTGGTATTCCGCCCTCTTTCTCTGGTGACCAGCTCAACTCGACCGACGGCGCGATCGATCCCACGAGGGCGGCTTACAAGTGACAAACGGCATCTATTGCCTCGGGCCTCGAGTCTCGTCTCTCCGAGACTAAACCTGGTGCCTCGGTCTCGTTGCATCATCGTCCTTCTACCTAAACAACAGACGAGACTACAAGACAAAGACCGCCATCATGTCCGTCAACTTCCGAGACCGGGCCATCGCCGAGGTCCAAAAGGCCATCAAAGCGGACAACGACAAGGAATACCAACAGGCCTTCGATCTGTACATGTCGTCGATGGAGCTGTGGGTCAAGGCCCTCAAGTGGGAGAAGAACAAGGCCATCAAGGCCACCATGCAGGAGAAGATGGCCACGTACCTGGACCGGGCCGAGAAGCTGAAGCAGTTCCTGCAGACCGAGAGCGAAGGCAACGCCACGGGCGGCAAGACGCCCATGGGGGCCAATGGATCCAGCGCAGGCGGCAAGGCGAAGCCGGCGGCAGAGGACGAGGACAACAAGAAGCTCCGCAATGCGCTGTCGGGAGCCATCCTGCAGGAGCGGCCAAACGTGCGGTGGGAGGACATTGCTGGCTTGGAGGGCGCCAAAGAGACGTTGAAGGAGGCCGTCGTGCTGCCCATCAAGTTCCCGAACCTGTTCCAAGGCAAGCGACAGGCGTGGAAGGGCATCCTGCTGTACGGCCCCCCAGGAACCGGAAAGAGTTATTTGGCCAAGGCCGTGGCTACGGAGGCAAACAGCACGTTCTTCAGTATCAGCAGTTCGGATCTAGTGAGCAAATGGATGGGTGAGAGTGAACGGTGAGTGTTCCGCTGCGCGACCGCATATGCGATGTCATGCGTTGTGCTGGCGCTAACTGCCATCAGGCTCGTCAAGCTCTTGTTCTCCATGGCTAGAGAGAACAAGCCGTCTGTCATCTTCATTGACGAGATTGATGCTCTTTGCGGCCCCCGAGGCGAGGGTGAATCCGAAGCTTCTCGACGTATCAAGACGGAAATACTCGTGCAGATGGACGGTGTTGGCAACGACAGCAAAGGCATCCTCGTATTGGGGGCCACCAACATTCCCTGGCAGCTCGATGCGGCTATTCGCCGTCGTTTCCAAAGACGCGTTCACATCGGCTTGCCCGACGCAAATGGGCGAGCGCGGATGTTCAAGCTTGCCATTGGAGACACGGACACTGCACTGAAACCGAGCGACTACAACACCCTGGCATCACTCTCAGATGGTTTCTCGGGCAGTGATATCGCCAACGTTGTTCAGAGCGCTCTGATGCGGCCTGTTCGCAAAATTCTACAAGCGACTCATTTCAAGCCAGTACGTTCTCAAAGCCTACTGAATAACCCGCTCGTATGATCTTGCTGATGCTAATGTTATCTAGGTAATGAAAAATGGCAAGAGGATGTTGACGCCCTGCTCTCCAGGAGACCCGGAGAAGATCGAGATGACATACGACGATGTCAAGCCAGACGAACTGCTGGCTCCGGACGTGACCCTTCAAGATTTTGAGATAGCCTTGGCCGATTCACATCCAACAGTGTCTAAGGATGATATCGCGAAACAGGTCGAGTGGACAAACGAGTTTGGAAGCGAGGGAGCTTAGGCAATGGGCGTGTCTTGGACGGAGAGGGAGTACATGGCACAGCGGCGCTTTGAGGAGTTCGAGGGGCATCTAGGCACTCTTTGCACATAAATGTCGAATTTGGGAAACGTAATGCGTCTGGCTTGCTAGAAATGGAAAACGAACCTGTTTATATTCGATTCACTTACTTTTCCTTGAGTCTTTATCATGGCTGATGGGGTTCTCGTCAGCGGCTTCTGTAATGCGGTTCGTTTTGGGGTGAAGACGGTCTGGCATTGTGCGTACAATTCTGTCTATACAGTAATCATCTACTACAGACACGCACAATCATCTGCGCGTTAACATAGAAGCATATCGGTTGTCTGGTGATGTAATGGACTGGCCATCCAAAGTTGGGATGCTGAACCAGCAAAAAGTGTGGATTGTCAGCGAGTGTGAAAATTTCGGTGAGGGCCCCGCCACACCGAGCCTCACCTGGAATTCTCCATGACTTCAATGTTTTCCAGCTACATGCAACCCTTCTCTTCGTCAGCATAACAACATATTCATCAGCGTTTCTTTTATTTTTCTTATCCCCTCATGGCGTCTCGCCTTGTCAGTAGACGCACGACTGTGGCGTGGCTGTTACGCCAGCCCTCAGCACCGACATGTGCTCGATCAGTGGCGACCACGGCAAAGTCTGCTGAGATGCTGAAAGCGACAAGCCCCGTCGCCCAGCAGCTTCTCCAGACGGGCATATGGAATCGCAGAGGCGGCAAGAGAGCTAGTAGCGCCCCTAAGGCTATAGAACCTCACAGGGTGAATATTGTGAGCCAAGGGCTTTGCGGTATGTGTTTCCTTGTCCTTCGCTTCAGTCATGGGTTGAAAGGGAGTTGATGGAGGGGCTATATGTATAAAGAGAGGTACGACTAACGACTGACTGGGTTTCTAGATGATATCATTAACTACATGGGCACTTCATTAGAGCGTCATCGAGGATGCGACCTGGTTGATCTGAATCCTGGCGTAGGGCTCTGGAGTCGAAAACTTCACGATTTTTTGGAGCCACGCAATCACATCATGATGGACCTTGACGCTCAGCTATACAGCCCATTTCTCGAGGACCTCATTTCAAAAAAAAATGTTCAGCTGATACCAAAGTCGGGTATCATATGGAAGGACCTCGTTGAGATGATCCAGACGAAGCTTTCTCACCAAGAAGTGCTCGCCGACAAGGCAACAGAGCCAAGACGCAACGACACGCTGCTAGTCACAGCCAACTTGTCCACGTTCCCGAAAAAGGCGTTTCTCGGATTTGACAGCATCAGCACGATGGTCATCTACCAGTTCATGTCCAGTATCAAGTCGTCTTCCTTGTTCCAGAAATACGGCATGGTGCGCATGCTCCTGTGGGTCAACGATGACGAGAAGCGCCGCCTCATCCCCAAGTCGATTAACCGTCGCAAGCGAGGCTCCTTTGAGGCCGAACTGGCGTGCGAGTGGGTTCACGAAGTCGCGGGACAAGAGCTGGAAGCCGAGAATCGACACACGCTCCGCGACGAGTGGATCAACAAGGAGTCCGGCCTCAATGTCCTGGCCAGGATGCAAGCAAAAGGCCTCCAGGTCCCTAAAGGACGGGAGTCGAAGACGTATAAGGAATCGCTACAATCAAAAGACCTTATGGGCAAGAAGCTGGCTGGAGTCCACGTGCCAGTGGTTGCACGGCCTTTCAAGAAGGAGCTGGAGGAGCTGGAAAGCGAGTTTGATGAGGAGGAGCATATAGGGCTATTGCCCGACCGACTGAAGGCACTTCGGAGCAGGAAAAAGTACGAGACCAGCCACTTTAGCATGTATTTAGAGATGCTGCAAGAACACGAGAGAATATCTGCCATGGCGACAGGGGATCCAGCGGCATTCAAAGAGGCCAACGAGGCCTGGAATGAAAAAATCGACAACATGAAGAAGAACCAGCGGATGGAGTTCAACGTCCTGAGGGATGGCTACCATCTATTCCGCCAGTCACCCCCAGCATTGCTCTGGGACCGACGAGAATACGAGCCGCTGACAGCCATGCCGGAAGAATTCTTTCCCAACGCACCGACGGCCCTCCTTGACCTCCAGCCCAAGGCGATGCATCCCCTCCTGCGAGAAATCGGTCCCAACAGCAACCACGCGGGCGACATATCGGACATTATGCTGCGGTCCTGGTGGAACCAGACGATCCTGCCGGCGCACAAGGCGATGGAGAGCCTATGGCCCGGGTTCGGCGACCTCGTTTCAGAGGTGCCGAGCCTGCGAGACGCTCAACGCGGAGGGTCGCCGTTGACGGGGCATGGGTCGCTGAGCGCGAGGAGCATCAACGAGGGGCAGTGGATTGAGCTGCTGGAGGCGTGGATGCGGTGGCCGTTTAAGCCCACGTATGGGCAGATGCTGGGGAGGATGTCGGAGGACGTTGATGATGTGGAGGAGGACGATGTAAAGTCGGGAGCAATTGCAATGGCGCCTTAGGAAGATATGGCTGCTATTCCTGCTATTTTGTACGATATTGCGAGACTATTAGAGTGTACAGCAGATGGATGGATATGGATATGACAAAGCTACTCATGATATAAAAGGAATAACATAGAAGAGACATCACAAGTCACGGATTGTAAATGGTAACGTCCAGGTAATTATTCAATTTGTTATCGTTATCGTTATTGTACAATAGTGTTTCGTAAGCTCGTGATAGCATCCCTTAGTTGGAATACTTGGGGTCGACCTGGTTCCTAAATTCCGGAGTCCGCATTAGAAACCCTTCAATCTCTTCATAGGCTAGGGATTTGTATATGCTTACCCTGAGGCCTTCTCATACATGCCACGGCCCGTATCCGTGATCTTCTCCTGGGTGTTGCGATCGATGTTGTGGCCGCTCTGCTTGGCGCCCATGGAGAAGGCTGCAACACACAATATGTCAGCTTTGGTGCTCATGCATTGATGATATGAGGGTACCTCTTGAGAAGAGCGGAAGTTGGATTTGCTTACCCTTGTCGACGTAGTCGTCCTGCTGGCCGCCCTGCTGGGGAGCAGCAGGGGCGGTGCCGTGAGTGCTCTGGTTGCCCTGGATGCCCGAGGACTCGTTCTGGTTCTCGCCGGACTTGCCCATAGCCTTCTTGACGAAATCCATTGTGATTGAGAGAGGTTGGTGGGGGATATTTCAAAGATGTTGTATTGTGTCGAGAGATTGTGTCGAGAGATTGGGTTGATTCGATTGTTGCTTGACTTGATAATGAAGAGCTGGAGGGAGAGGATCTCAAGGTTGCCCTTTATATACCCCAATCCGCCTCCTCATCGGTGGCGTTCTTCATGGAGCTTCATGCGGGATCCAATTGATGCTGTCCTTTGACGCCATGGCTGGCAAGCTGGGCCTTGAGCTCATAGCTGACGAAACTCGGTAATAGCAGAATAGCTTAATCCCACAAAGAAGCTTGTGCCTCATTCCACAACAGAAGACGGGCATCGAATCAAGAGGGACAACGCTGCTTTGCTCGTACGTCATAGTGTGCTTGATCAAGTTTACCCCATGTTGAACAAGCATTGCAATGCTACGTAAGGACGGATATTTCCAAAAATATCTTGGAAGCCGAGTTACAGATTCATTCATCTAGACTGGAAGCTTATTGGGAAAATCGGGGCTTCGGAGGGAGATCGTTGCCGTTGGTGGTTTTGCGGTTCTGATGCCGATCTTGCATCATAGCTTCTTTGGTTTCGATCTCCGATACGATTATGCCCTCCTGGCCAAGTTTTGGACACACAGTTGTTGAGCGTTGTGGTTCCCGAGGAGCATAGAGCATGATGGAAACTGATGTAATGATGGGTGAAATAGAAGCACAAAGATAGTAGTTGGCATGGAAAGAGAATCATTGTAGTATATACATTGCTCTATAAACTCAGGTCAGTCTGCTTGATCCGTCTGCCCTTCTATGCAAGTCCTTTGATTCATAGACCACACTGTGGGCGGCATCATTGCCTCCATTACTCTAATATTCGGCCCAGATAGTAAGAAAAAAAAGAGACTCTCCTCCCTCCCCATCCGTCCATCGCAATAAGTTCTACCGCCGATATAACGTTGCCCAAACACAAAACCGAGAGGTTCCAGCCAAGCAAAAACAGATTTCCAACGCCCCGCTCATAATGCATGTATAACGTTACAAAATCATCCAACATTACCCAGGAATATCCCCATAACGACCGTTGCAGCATGGCGTCAGCATGAAGACACGATTATACCGAAATTTGCTCCTCAATGCTGTGCCTCGTTTCGTTTCGTCAACACCGAGTGATCGGCCGGCCATCGAGGTTGAAGCTCAGACTGTTCGGCTTCGCTATTGGTGACCAACTTGTTCCGGCAGACGAAAGCTTGCATCACTCGGCATTGACAGATGGAAAGAAAGAAAGGAAAAAGAGGAAAGAAAAAGGGATATCGATCATTTCCCCTCTCCTTCTATTCCCTTCCCCCTCCCATTGTCCCCTTGTTCAAATCGGCATCGTCAGTGTCATGACCTGGCAAACACCTGGTACGCCATAATCATGACCCAGAACAGAAAGATGGCCCCCGTCAAGGCCATGGCAAAGACTAGGTCCCAGCACTGGCAGATCTGCTTCTGCTGCAGCCACGCCAGCGTCTCCTGGCTGGGGCCCTTGGGGTCCTGCTTGAAGACGTTGCGGTCGCAGGTGTCCTGGATCGAGCCGTTGGGCCCCCAGAGCTCGAGCGAGACGACGACGAGGCCCACGAGCCACAGGACGAAGAGCATGAAGGCCCCGATCATGACAATGGCCGGCAGCAGGCGGCGGCGGGCGATGAGCCAGAAGATGCCGAAGATGAAGAGGATCGCGATGGCGCCGACGGTGATGTAGTAGGGAAAATACCTGCAAGGGAGAGAGAGGGGACTCGCTGTCAGTTGTCTTCAAGCAATTTGTTTGCGATACAGTTCTGGGGCTGCTTACCAGGGAATGGGCAGCTCGAGCTGGTTCTGTATCTGGATGAAGCTTCCAAAGACGCCAATGATGGTGCAGGCGCACAGCAGCATGACGAAGATCCAAAAGTTGAGCTGCAGAGGCGGCCAGTTGTACGTGCGGATGTGCGTCGTCACGACCTTTCGCTCGTAGACGACCGAGGTGCCGCTCAGCATGGAGCGTGGGCCCGCCATCATGATTTGACTCGATGTTCTTCTATCTCTTCTCCCTCTCTTTCTCCCCTTTCTCCTCCTTCTTGTTCTTCGTCGGCCCCTCAGATATTAACGTTCTCCAGGCGCTATCGACGCAAAGTCCCCTCGATATCCAATCGTACAAGTTGTGTGTATAGTCGATCGGTCTGTCGGTACTGTTCGAGGCTGGTGAGAGAAGGGCGCGATTGGTTGTTCAATTGTCTTGGACGCAAATCGAATGGTCAATGGCTATTGGGTGTATGGAGAGGATGTATGGTATATCGATCGATGCTGGATAAAGTGTCGGTATATAACGGCCAGCTCGAGAGCGAGAAGGCGGCTCCCAGGGGCCACACAGCTGACTGGATCTGTCGCCTCGTCGGTTCCGATAGGTGACGATGCACGGCGGCGGAGCTACCGCTTTCTTCTTGCCGCGTCGCCTGTGGTGAGTATTATTCTGGAAGGCCACCCGCGTCCTGGATGATGGTTCCCCGTCACCGTCCGTCTGATGTCGTCTGTCGTCTGCTCTCCGAGCTCGTGCTTGTACCGGTACAAAAGAGCCAGCAAGCAGCCTGAACAAGGCAGATCGAGGCGATCAGAAGCCCTACCAGCCGCCCTGTCGGGATGCCGGGCTCTTCGGTACTGCTGGGCCCCAGCCAGGCCTCGCAGGTCTAGAAGTCCTTGGCCCTTCTTCTGCCTGCTGCGATGCGACGTGCTGTATTGTAAGAAGCGCCCAACCAGCGGCGGTGCACGAGCCCAAGCCCCCACTGCTGGAAGAAGCGTGTCGAGCACTGATTGATGAAGGAAAGTCGGTGCGAGTCCAAGGCCTTCAGGGCTCTCCCCTTGCATGTGCGTCAGTGTCTGGAGGCGCGAACCAGGGGGGTGCGGAGGAGGAGGGGCGAGTTTCTCTCTCTCTGCGTGCGTGTTTCTTTGTACGTACGGGTGAGTATGATGTTCTTCGGTGAAAGAACTACAGTATTTGAGTATCGAATCAACTCCCACCGCTTGTAATTCTGGTGAGCATCGGCCGGATACCGTATGTGACAAAGATGCGATCAGCTTATGTACATGCAAAGTGCGCGCGTCGCTGCAAACCGGAGCAGTTGATTCCAGCAGGAGAAAGGCGAAGAGGGGCCATGGTTGGATACAGCTGTTAGAAGGCGGTATAGCTGCGCGCTTTCGAGGTGGCTGGCATCCTCTCTGCTGTGGTTCGTGTTCCTCTTTTTTTCTCTCTCAGTGGTATTAGCTGGAAAATGAGATGGCTGGGGATGTGACAGTTTACAGTGAGCCTGTGATCCGTCACACACCAATTACGCCGTACTAGGTACGAGTAATAGAAGAGAAGCCAATTGGTTTCCATCGTCTACGGTGGAACTAGACGCATTACTTTCGTACGTATAGTTTTGAACTCAACTGTACTTCATGGAGAGACTCGACATTGACTCAAATAGTCTCAACCTGGAGTCAACCCTGAAGTCCCAACTGACGGCCACCATGTAAGCAACCCCCGTTAAGCTGCATGCATCCTCACTCACCCTCTGGTATTCCATCGCCTTTACCGCCTTACTCGTACATGACCATCACCGCCCTTATCACCCCATCCACTCTTTTACGGTAAAAGTACTCGTACTTCCAAGTCTTTGCTACTACCGCCCCATAGCGGAGAAGCGGGACCTTCGGGGCCATTCGCAGAGCATCCGGGGGGTTCAAGTGCCGCCTCCGGGCCTCCACCGCCTCTCAGTGCCGGTACGTGGCTATTGGCGATGCTTCATGATGGGACGGAGCAAGGAATGCTTCGTACATGAGTGCATACATGTTGCGTTGAACCATACATTACATTGCAGTTGTATGCTCGGTGTTGCCACTTTAGGGCGTGTACTACTGCATGTTCTGCTCTCTTGCCGTGCCTCGAAGTATGTCCACGCAATGCTTCTCCTTGCCTTGATATTGCTGTGCATATGCGGGCTTTGAAGTAGGTGTGGCATGAACACGCGGTAAACAATGGTATGATGCTGCAGTCTCACATTGTCATTTTCTTGCCACAGCAGCACTGCGAGAGAACGGGTCATAAGCGATGTATTGATAGACGTTCATTCATACAGTTGTATCATCCCAGCTTCCAGTCTTGTTCCATGCATATCAAACGACTCAACAGACATCTACTCCACTACTCCCTATCATCCTCGTGAAATACCAAGGCTCGAACCTCGATGCTCTCCCTCGTCGGCGCATTCGCAGGCGAGCTCGCGTCCGTAAACGCCGTGTGCGGCACCCGCCTCGCCCTTCCGTCCGTCTTGCTATCGAAGCACTTGATCAGAATCACCTCCTCCGGCGTCAAACCCGACTTGTAGAACCACCGGTGACCCTTGTTGTGTCGCACGCTGAGCGTCTCTCCGTTGCGCGTAGGGTAGATCAAGCCCACGGGGACGAGGTCTTCCTCCGCGACAGAGTCCGCCTCGGCAACGGCGAGGGGGTCCCGCAGGATCTGCTTGATCGGGCGCCAGACGTTGATGATCTGGACGCGGCCCTTGAGGAGCTCGTCGGCTTGCTCGGGGAGGTGATAGGGCACGCGGGAGAGGGCCGCGGAGTAGGACTGGTCGATGTGGACGCGCTGGACCGGGCCGCGGCCGGTGTTGTCGTTGGCATTGGTACGGCGGATGGTGTGGTCAAAGATGAAGATTTTGGACGCTCCGGTCCTACGCACAGAGTGTCAGTTGTACAGTTTGAAGAAATAGACAAGGTGAGTGGGAGTGTTGAAAAAGCACTTACACATCCTTGAGGAGCTGCTCCGTCTCCGGGTAATACGCCGCCTTGATCTGCTCATCGTCCAAAAAGTCCTTCTCGACCGAAGTGTGGCGATGAATCTGGAAGCCGTTCTTGTCGAGCGTGTAATTGCTCTCTTCTCCCGCAACGTCCTTGATGGTCACCTTTTGCGAGTCTACCGGCCGCTGCAAGAACGTCTCTGGTCTTCCCACGTATGAAGGCTCCGGAGGGGAGCCATCTTCGTTGTCCTTGAAGTAGTTGAGAACAGTCTCTACGTCGTGCTTGGGCACGCTCTTGTAGCTGGTTTGCTGGTCCACCTGTGGTTGGAACTGGACGCCCTGGATGGAGCTGAAGTCAGAGCTGGGGATGGCACTCTGGACTGCTGCGGCCGCCATTGTGTCACTCTGGTATGTCTCTTGTGTAGGTTTAAAAGTAAACACAAAATCTTTAGTCTTGTTCTTAATTCTTGATCTTGATTAGAGGGATATGCAGGTATTGTTGATTAATATGGCACCAGGGCAGTCTCACGCACTTTATATATATATGTCTTGTCTCGCCTTTTGCAAGAGGTTCCCCGCGAGCACGCCATTTCCCGACCACCATTCACCAAGAGGGATTGATAATCCACCGCAACCGCTACGACTTACACCTCCAATCCAATAGAAGCGCAACGTCATTATCAGGAGTTGCCACGCCCTTCCCCTCAACTGGCTATTCCCGAGCACTTCGGATGATTTGAAATCTGCCTCCGTGAGCTTCTCATATTTGTTATTGTCTGAAGGATCGGTGCGGAGCGGAGAAAGGTGTCCAACGGCATGAATTTGGAACCTTATGTGATAGCTCAGTTAGAGTTTGCGGAGTGACAGATAGACTACCGGATATCCCAAGGAGCGGCTATTGTGAGCTTACACCTTGTAAGCCACAATCAACTCACTATATCGCAGAAGTTGAGACGGATATATCTCGCCAACTGATGTCTCCTACGCAGTACGACGTGCGGATTACTGAAACCGAGGATTGGCAATTGAGATTAGAAATACATATAATGACGCGAAAATATAGTCGTTTGCAACATTCAACGCTATGCAGCAATAACAGAAAGCTATCAGGAACATGAGAAGACAGCTATCAAGCTCAAAGAGCTCAGCTTACAAGATAAAAAAACTCAGAAATATGGAACCCACCGCCCTCTATAGCTAAAAATAAGACGAGTGTAGTCTAGTAGCCATCTTATAGGAAAAAGTTCAAGCCAGGCTCAGTCATATGTATGGACGACCCTCGTAATAGACGTCCCGTCATCAAGCACCTCAGTCTTCTCTTCCAAGGTGTAACCTCCCCATTTGGGCAGCAGAATGGTCCAGACGTACCAATACAGTACACCAGCCACAATCCTAAAGAGATAGAAAGTTAGTTGCCAATTCGTCGAGAACAAGTCAATCGATGGAATAATAACGTACGTTCCCATCCCCACCACCGCATACGTTGCGTACCATAGCCCTCCGGAGGGTTTCTCCTTCGGTGGGAAGAAGGGGGCAGCAAGCAGCGCAATGCTCAGAAGGATCCTCAGTATAACAGCGGGCAACCACGCTTTATACGGCCTCCTGATGTCCGGCCGTTTGAACCGTAGCCACACAAGTCCGACGCCCATGGCCAACGTAAAGACTTGGCCGGGATAGCCTTCCACCTCGAGAATGAAGGAGTAAGACTCCGTGGTGGGCGGTAGCACAATGACGAGAAATGAAGGTATAAAGTTGACGATGAGGCCCCCAAACGGCGAGTTGAAGGGCTTCGTCGAAGCAAGTATATCGGAGAATGGCAAGAAGCCCTGTCTGGCAATCTCTTGCTTCAGCCGTGCCTTGTAAACAGAAAATGTTAGCTTTCACATCGACCGAAGAATGCTTTTTCTTTCCTTCTAGACAGCAAATGTCAAGCTTACCATTGCAAAAGCAACAACAAAGACGTTGCCCACTGCTGAAAGAGCAACGGCCAAAGGCAAGATCCTTCTGCCCACCTGCTCGCCAAACACGCGCTGAAAGAACAAGGCCGCAATGAGCTCGCCGCTCCCCTTGATCTCGTCAATGGGAACGACGATAAAGTAGGCCACGTTGATGAGCGTATACATGGCGCATGAAGTCACCAGAGCGGTCAGCGTGACAGAGCGTAGAGTCCGCACGGGGTCCTTGACCTCGTTGAGCACGTTGCTCACGTTGTCCAGTCCGGCATAGGCGTAAAAGACCTTGAACAGCGACGTCGATATAATGCCCCAGTTCCACACACTGTCATCCCACAGATGATCCCACGACAACGGATTCTTCTGGATCGAGGTATCCAGCGGTGGTTGGAAGACTACAACGTAGAGACCGGCGAAGATCATGAAGACGACGATGCCAACCTTGACCCAGCCAAGAAAGTCTTGTATCTTGACGCCTGCTTTGGGCGTCACTGCGTGAATAGCCGTTACAGCCACCAGGAGAGCCACCGCCAGTCCCTTTGCTGCAAAGGCGCCCGCGTTGTCTACGCCATATGCAAAGAGCACATAACGGCTGAAGATGACGCAGTTGCTGGCAGTGAAGCCGAGAAAGACGGCGTTGATGGCGACCTGCGTCGTCGCAAAGAGCTTAGGGTAACGGTAGGTGAACTCGAGATAGACCTTGACGCCTCCTGATCGCGGCAGCATGCAGCCGTACTCGAGAGACACGGCCAGTCCAGCTGCAGCAACCAGCGTGCCAACGATCCATAGCAACAGAGCTAGGCCCGGGCTGCCCACCGACTGAAGGATGGCTCCGGGCGTCGCGAAGATGCCGCTGCCGATGACTCTGGATATGACGAGGATGTAGGCGCTCTGCCAGCTTAGTGTCCGGCCTAGAGTGGACGTCTCCGGCAGTACATCGTCCTCGACGGCCCGGGATGGGTGAACTTGGCCCGCGGCGTTTTCGGTCTCGCTCAGCGTCGCTATCGTGTCGTATTTGTTGTCGTCTGGCCCTACAAGAATAGGCCTCGGAGAGTCTCGTAGCAGCGGCTGCTGCTCGCTCCCAGCGGCATCAGCATCATGGCCAGCCATGATGAACGCCTGCTGATGTTATGTCTTTTGAAGATAAGGTAGAGGTTGAAATACTCTCAACCTTGCATGTGTCTGTAACCGAAGCTGGGGTATATATCGCAAAACAAAAGAGTAAACAACCTCTCCTCTCATAAGCTTCAAATCGGGCACAAAGACCGAGGCTTGCCACTACCCAACGGCCTGCTCGGGTCATCAACACGGCATTGCTACCCAGAGAGCCGAATCACATCACAGGTCAGATAGCAGCAGTTATCAACGGGAGGGGAGGGAGGATTCAAGCGAAACAAAGGGACTGCTCTCGGGCAAGCCAAGTATGTAGCATCAGATAATAACATCAACGGCCTGCATATGGCACACAGACACACCCAGACAACTGACAAACCCTCCTCAGGATCAATTCCGGAGATCCCATGCCCATCAAGCGGCAGCATGACACGCACACAAGACGCGCCATCGTCAGCGAAATCGAGGATTGCGCGATTCGCTGGGATTAATAAAGCTGCTGAAACCGCCCAGATTCCATGGCGCGACTGCGACCTGCTCGCACGTCATCGCCCGCCTTGCCGCAGATAACCAGGCCGGCATTTCATAGGCAGTCAAAGCAGTGCTTATCATTCCGTCAACAATGGCGAATGAACGAGACATATCGGGCATGTGGGCGCGGACTAGTATGTAGTTGTTAACTACCTTAGTATAATGATGTGAGTTTCCAGTTACTGTATGAGAAACTGTCTGATATGCATGAGAAACCCAGTTTCAACATGTGCGACATCGAATAACAGCTGCAGGCTTTATAAGACAACGCCCGGTTGCACTAGGTACCTGGTAATCTCAAATCATCCGCCACACCCACGATTTCAAGATGAAGTTACGACAGATTTCAGATAAAGAGGGATATAAACACCTAAATCGCATGTGATTTGCTGTTCATGCAGTTATCTAATCAGCTCCTCCGACAACTCATCTCCTATAATTGGGCGCCACCAGTTGTCTTTTATACAGGAAAATAATAGAAGGTAATGCATCGAGATAGAATAATGATAATGCTTGTGGTTTGTTCACTTGCCCCTACAGCGCGGAGTCTGCGCGCCCAGTGGCTAATGAGATTGTCACAAAGGCCCAATCCGACTCGCTCCGCAGTATCTTCATTCCGCAATGACGGTCGCTCGGTTCTTCGTGATAATCAAAGGCAAACTCACGCTGAAGCCAGACATGGCTTACATTTAAACATTACTAGGTGGCGACATCTAGTCAAGCGCCAGAAGATGAGTGACAACAGTTCCAATATCTTCAGATCAATGGCGCTGTATGGGCATCTACTATCGAAAGCATAGCCGATACCCGTTGATGGACTGTTATCCTGTACTCTGTAGTTCAGACAAGTGGAAGGACGAAGCCAGAATTGAGTCAAGAAGCTTGGTTGAAGCGGATGTTCCCTCCGTTTGACAAAGTCTGGTGAGTGAAGATGATTCAGATGGTCTGGCGAGAGCGACTGTACTGCGTGGCTATTGTTAGGTAGAAATGTCGTCCAAAAGTTCGACACCTGAACAACATACCTACTTGGCGCCAGCCTGAAGAAGGGCCAGATGGAGGCTGGACTCATCCACGAAGCGATGTCGCAAGTTGAGCTGCGCAAGAAAGACTCGCTATACCTCGTTGGCTTCGGCGTCACGCCCCGGCTAGTCCCTCCCTACCCATTCAACACCGTCCGCCTTAGCAGTTGCTGAGAGACCTAACTGAGCTGTCCACCGACCGATTGAAAGCAAGAATGCCATAAATGATGCCGCTCGGTTGGATTAACGCACGGAGATCGAGGTCGCAAAACAACTCCCTTGCCCAGTGTCACCAATAGCGCCGATCATGAGATGTTTTCGCGGACATAATACATGCTGTACGTCCCGAATGTAATAGGAGGCATTCGATGTAGACAAGTGACTTGAATAAACGATGCCGGCGAGCAAAAGCCGGGCTTGAGTTAAGAGGGTGAACACATAGAGACAAGCAAGGTCGTCCAATCTTTAAACGAGATATACATGCGCATCACTATCAGATCGAGCGGCACTTACAGTCATGTGGAGAAACCAACTATGGTCAAGCTGGGCTTCCTCTCAGGATTTTCCTTTCAAGGTGTCATTGTTGTTTCCCCCAAAGCCTTCTTGGATACACGGAGGTGATGATAGAACGTTAAGGAAAGATGTGGCGAGAGAAGCCCAATGGGTAGTAATAGAATGTGATTACTTGCATAATTCAGATGCCATAATAAGACATTGAACTGCTGTTCCCTGTTCAAACATGATTCAAGTTCCGTAATGCTTCCACATAACGTCTCTCCCTGAACCTGTCAAGCTTTAGGTGCCATAGTTTTACCACAAGCTCTACAGCCGAATCCCGCCATCTTCCGTTACTGCAGCCCGTGGATCCGGACCCGATGCGCCCCTGTGTGCTACGGAGGTCCGCAATCCCGGGCCGCTATGGGTCCGCCGCCGATGGAACGAATTTTGGCTCTCAACTTCAAGGTTTGTACGGCGACTTTGAACGACGATGAAGGTTTCTCAAAAGTAATACACGTCGCCGACACTTTATCGGAAACTTCTCGATGAGGTATAGGTGGAAGGTTTGTCTCTACTACACTCGAGTTCTCCAAGTATACCTTAGCCTAAGATTGTCCCTCATTAAACATACTGCTTACATAGACTCTCTTAGATCCAACTTGCATCATCCCAGCATTGCCACTGATGACCATGAAAATCTCATACATGTTGGGTTTCGCGTAGTTGTCCTCGCTGAACCATGAAAATGCGCGGAGTTGATATTTCGCGCGGCATTCTACATAAAAGAGCCACCTCGGCTCGCGACTCCGCAACTCGCCGAGATAAGCTCATCTGAATGGCTTCGATATTAGCCGGAGAGGCTCCAGTTGTACATAGAGGAGATATGCTTTTCCAAAATCCTACAGCTGATGGTTTGACATAATTGAGTGTAACCTATGATGCGCCTCATCACGATTTGAGTCGTGGCTCCAACCTCTTTGCCGCTACCCCCCCAACATGGCGACTTGATTTGCATGTCAGACCAGACCATCTCATTGGTAATCACTACAGTCAACGATCATAAGCTGTAATCAAATATAACAATCTATGATGAGATAATAGCGGCGTGTAAGCGACTTAAGTTCTCAATACCCAAGGACAAGGCTTCTATTTCAGGGTAGCACCAGGAACCTCCGCACCCGATCCGCAGCCCGTCGATCTCCCGAGCGATCGGGTAACGGCGAGATCGCGAGCTGAAATCGAAGGACTGTAAGACCCTTCTAGACCGACACAAGATCCAGCTTGATGATGGAATCCGCATCTGCTTACGTAGCTAGTTGGTGACCGGGATACAGGCAGCAAGTGAAGCTTTCTTTTTATGGAGCATGTAGAACCACTCTGCACCCGCCAAGGCTGTTCCTTGATTGTCCCTGGAGTCTCGACCCGGATGACCCAATTCTTCACGGCTCAGTCTCAGGGGTAACATCATGACGTGCAGTTTGAGCCTAGTATTTCCCTCTGAAATCAAGGAAGCCGGAGAGAGAAAGTCTAGAACTGCGTCTTTTCTCCCGTCGGCTTACACCAATTGCCATACCCCCTTCCGCCCCTCCCATGAACCACCTTGTGCTGAACTATATCAAGAAAATTCACGCTTGAGGTCCTATATCTATATTTAGGCAATGCGGCTTCAGTTTGAAACCGCTCGGGCCACTCCATATCCACCATTGGGTAAGCTGCTGGCAGCCTTTCTGTGAGTTCACTGATAGCGGTGAACTCATTCATCCTTGATCCTTGAACTCGCGTTGACTCTCCCTTATAGACCTTGATCTCGACCGAGCTTCTGATAACGGGTGAATATGAGCCGAGTCTGAGGCCGAGATAGTAGCTCCGGTTTGATCAGGATGTTCGAGTATCGGGATGGTGATTATACGCATTTTCTTCACCTCTCCCTCCGATAACTCCTTGTGGTGATCGTAACTGACTATCTGCTCATGGTCAGAGAGTTTGTATCCATAACCCCGTCTATAAAACCATGAGTCTGTTTGTTTGTATACTACAATCCCAGATTTGTAGGAAGCACATGCGCTCACAGGACTGAGAATGCATGCTGTCCCACACAGATAGAGAGTATAGATCGAGGTGAACGTACACACATGTCTCCCCAACCACACACCCATCCGAGAGTCGGCCTCTCATTCACCATCATCCGTCCCATCAAGTAGGGGCGTATGCATAACCCCTAGCCTTGTCTCCTCGGTGGACCATGGGACCTATTGCTCCGGCATGAAGCCACTCCTGTCCCCTATCCTCACGCTCGGTACCGCATCACATCACGCCAGTCTTACTTGCGAGGCTGCACCCGAGATTGTGCGGCTGCAGCGGATGAAGGAATAGGAATAGGCCCGCGCCCGCTATGCATTATACATGATGCCCCCCGAATGACGTCCTTTGTTCAGCTGGCCTTGGACACCCGGACCCCACGATATGTGATGTATCACTTACGTTGCGCTCGAGCCGAAGTGCATGCTCGGACGTTGCGTCCCGGTGGGTGATTGGAGGAGCCGCGGCAAGGATCTCATGTGAGTATGAAAGGCGAGACCACTCGAGACTACATGTGATCTCTCAAGGGCGGCAGATAGTATGCAAGCATGGGCAAGCCACCATCTGTAGGACCGTTGGGTTGCAGCAATAGTCTTGAAGCCGTTGAGATGATGGGATGGGGTGAGATTATGAACGGGAAAAGAGGCAGTATTGCTGAGCAGATAGTAAGAACCCCACAGCTACGAACTATACCGGAAAACAAGTGCTTTGCATATATGTAATGTGATGCTGAGAGAACATATCACCTACGGACGTATATAGATGACACCATAGCCCCAGCGTCTGGCCAGTAATAATCTCACCCATGATCTTGTCAGTCACTCTCAAAGTAGTCCTTGTAAAGTATGTGGTATACTACTTCAAATAGTC